CTAGCAGTACATGATAACTACCTAGATCAAGGCAACATGCACTAAGGAATGGGATAATTCCCTGTAAGTTCTGTAAACTAGAGATTACAGATTGCCTTGCTGAATAAACCATTATGAACCTACTCATTACCAAATACCTTCCCCTCCATGTGAAACAACCTTGAAAACAGATAGAATATGGTATTAATGATAATCAGCTAAAGTATTGTTATTTAAATGTCTTTACACCCATTGTTATTGTTAGTTGCGCATTAAATTTAAACTCGTGTTTTACTTAGACAAAAGTAAATATTTTTTTTACCATATCATTCATAATATTAAAAAATGTTGTTATAGGATATTGATTTTAATAGAAACTATATATCCAGAGCGCTATATAAATTTTCAAATAATAATTTCTGCGCTAGTTCTGAAGTAATGATTTCAGTCAGAGATAGTCTTGGCTTTGCTTGCTTTTATGTTACAATGCAGATTATGACAACACATACTACGTAGTAACATGAGAGAATTATTAACAAACGCATCATTTAGTTAATGGTTAAGCCAAATATGGGTTTCTAAGTAAGTTGAAAGCTTTCACATATGTTAAAAATTATGTGTTTAAGTAGGGGAAGAAAAGTAATTTCACAGTAATAATGAATATTCCTTGTATATATTTTTTAATTTAGAATTTGAAGCCATAATGCGCTCTAGTAATTAAAAAGAGAATGCAACAGTTCTTTTTAGCCAGTTTCAAACAGTGGTTGGCACTTGTGTGAAGACTTCATTTCACGCGCAAATAGCCATCAAACGAAGCAATGAATTTAGCAAAAATGAAAAAATGATGTTTGTAGTAAGAAAATAGTTCAGATTTAAATAGCAAGAATATTTGATGCATAAGTTATGCACCTAAAATATAGGAAAAGTTAAAACGAATTAAAACTGCTCAAAGTTATAGAAATAATGCCGATTTAATTCTGTGTCAAAGAAAACCTTATTAAAAAAGTATTAATTAAGTTTATTAAAATTAAGATCTTTTATTTAAAGTATTAACAAAATAGCTATTTAAATCTGAAATTTGCATACTTAACAACAGCTACAGTAAAATTGTTGAGCACTGACCTTAAATTTAAAAGAATACATTTACAAATAAAATACCGTCGATTTGTGTTTGAAAAAATTTATTCTAGTTTATAACAGATTTTGAAATATAACGCACCATCATTCATTAGCTCAAAATAAAATTCATAAGAAAACTTTGCATATATTGTGTGTATCATGTTCAGAGAAATGTACATAAAGGTTCGGAGAAATTTTATCAAAATCGATAAAATTAATAAGATTTTAATAGCATTAATTGCGAATAAAAAGCTCTAAGACAACAGCGGAAATATAAATTTTTCACAATTTTTTCGTTAGAAAGCATCTGTCATCAAGTAACAGTGTGTACGTACGTTAAGTTTTTTTTTTTTTTTTTTTTTTTTCTAATCACTCACTGAAATTTTTAATTAATAGTTACAATAAAGTTTTAATGAACTACGTTTAATTGACCACTTTATTTATTGACACAAACGATTTTTTCTTCCTTAGTAACGAAGAGAATTTCAACTGCTTTATGAAAGGTTTAAAATAAAATGTATCATATTATATTGTCATACTCTGTATGACGTCCTGCCACGAAAAACCCACAAGATCAAGGAAGTTCAAACTTTGCAAATAACAAGCATTATAATACAAGAATGTATTGGGATCCAAAGTTCGACGCGTACAAATTGCATGGCTCTCAAAATCAAGAATTTGTAAGTCTGGAGATTTAGAAATTAGGAATTGTTGCAAGTGATTCATGATGAACGCTGGAAGCGCTTGCTTTGTAAAAAGAAGGAAAAAACATTTGCGCGAATTTTTTGGTATAAAATAACTGTTCTTCAGGAAACTCAATGTTATTCTGAATAACAGAAATCCCATTTACTCCGAAATTGGATTTAAATGTATAGTATTATCCATAATATCGGAGAAGAAAAAAATCTGTTTTTAAAGTAAAATGGCCTCTCTGAAGGAAAAACAGAACTTTTACTGAAATAAACGTTTTTCTCTCTGCTCATTTCAAGTCCATTATTATCATATCAATTAGAAAGGATTTAACTATGAGCAAATATATAATACTGATAGTTAGAACCTGATGATATTGAAATTAAGCTGTTACATTGTTGAGGCAGTTAAGACTTTCACAGCAAGCAATGGGAAAAATTAACTAAGCCTTCCACAGAGGGGATTTAATCACAGTATCTTCCACCTTCTAACTAGATATGCTAACTGCTTACTTCACGAGAGTATGCACAGGGCATTCGGTAATGTTTTTGCATATTCCTGCCACTTAAAAATCGATTGGGAAGAGGTACAAATAAAATCCGAAGGAATTCAAATTATTGTCCACCATATTATGGTTCCAGCATCATTGCTCAGGCTGTTTATCTGATCGGACTTAGAAAAGCGAAAATACTATTGTGGCATCTATTCAAACTTTATTCCAGTTACAGTACGAACACTTACTGTGAGAACGGAAAATATCCTTTACATTCCTCCCAACTTAAAGGACGACTGGGGAAGAAATGATGTAGTCGCTGAATCCTGAAATGTAGTCGCTGAGTCAAAATACTGCCCGTACATTTTAGTTATGGCATCACTTGCAGTCTTTAAATTTCTTTAATCAAACTTCTGGATTCAAAATTCCTAGATTCAAATTCCAAACCACTTGAATGCTAGCCAGACGTACTTCCAGTTACACAACAAAAGCGCACGTTCAGGAGAGAGAGCAATTCCTTACAATTTGAGTAGATGAAATTTACTATGAATAATGACTAAGATATTCCATCTTTGAGGTCTTTCTTAATTTAATAAATAAAAACCATTTCTGGTGATTTGTCAAATTTTTTAGTCCTAAGCATCGGGATATTATTTTGAATTCCATTAACATGTTAATATACTAAGCTGTGCATCAAGTGGCACTGTTTTTTCTATGCAAAAGGAGAAATTTCCCTTTCTAACTTGCGTCCACTAGTGCCTGAGCAATAAAATCACCGAGCTCTGGTAGTTAATTCACCATGGATTCAAAACTGACGAATGAATTCATTGCTTGGAAGTTTTGTTGAGTTTTCACATGTGTAACCAGAATACGAGCTAGATTCTCGCTAAAATTTAAACAATAAAGTATCGAATCAAGTATGGCTAGCATTATTTCTATTAATGATACAGATAATACTATTCAAATTAACTCAAAAGTCATTATGCGACAACGAAGCAGAGACAATTTGTTTTTAAAAGTACTTGCCTACATTTTTTGCATATATAATGTTTCGAAACGTTAAAATAATATTGCAGATTTTCGTCACATCAGACAAGGCAATAAATTTTTAGCAGCGAAGATCTGTGTGAATTTCAGAGGATTTCCGAAAATTTCTCGTTTATCAGATCCGCGAATGACGAATAAATTCGCAAATTTTTGAATATGTTTTCGTGATAATTTTTAAATACCATTGTAATAGTTAGATATTTATATTTAAATACATTCTATATTTAAATAATTTTTATGCTAGTTTCTGCTAGACTATCAGCCAAAATATGCTGCTATGTAATCCTTCCTATCCTAACATCCATATTAATACTGGACTTATGTAATAAGTCCTTTCCCGAAGTTATGTGAAATCGTCTTCCGATGCTTAAGCCGAGGAATGATTTCGATGCCTAACGATCGTTTTTTCAAACAATTTGCTACTTTATTGAGAATTCTATACATGTACTATATAAGGGAAAAAAAAAACTCCTTCCCAATGAATGGAGAAATTTTTTGTAAAATTTGTGATGTGAACTAATCCCTCAAAATTTTCACAAAATGTTCCTACTGGTAAGTAGTATAAATCCGCTATCAAGCTACAAATATTTTCTCTTTTTTTCTCAAGTTTAAATTATTGCCTTAATCATGTAGCATTAAATTCATCAGGCGTAATTTAAAAGAATAAAATTTTGGAATTTTTTGGGGGGGCTCAAATATACTTATTATAAGCAAAACGCTGTAGAATATAAGTTTCAGTGTTTGATCATAAAATATACTCTCTTCATTCAAAATTTAATTTTTGCTCTACTTTATTGAGAAAAGAAGAGGTACGCTGCATATCCAAAGCAAAACAGGAACGCTCCTCTTTTATGTAAATGAAATATATAACAGCATTTTTTATAAATTTCTTCCTTTTCAATGGCATCTCATTTCAGCACTTAAAATATAAAGAACTTAAGCGAGCGTTTTACAAATAAATCTTTTGAAATCTTTCATCTGAGTTTATCATCTAAATAAAATTTTTCAAAATAGCAGAATGATTAAAGCTTTATTTAGCCAACTAAAGGACAATATTAGTACGTTTTTCTTAAATCATTAAGTTCGTTTTCCTTAAATCATCACTTTTTAAAAAATAGTTGGTTTATTGCCCAACACATTTAACATGCCATTTGATATATTTCATATACCAACTCCTTTTAAATCAATGCTCTTTACTTTCTAGTGATTTTAATGCTAAAAGTCTTGCATTCAAAATTTTTAATTTTCTCCGTTTCTTTAGTATTTCTTTCCCTTTCCAAGCCTTCTTATATACAGGTTCAAAACGATGGATATCATTTCTTAGTATGAAACAGCAGACATGATGATATTTGATGATATTTGAGATCCAAAGCGTCCTTCACCATCTTCCAACTATAAAACGGTGAGAAAGATTTTTCATCGATGAAAGGAAAACGTGGTTTTTTTTTTTTTTTTTTTTTTTTTTTTCCATCCTCCGCTAGCCATAAAACAAAGCTTTGGGGGAAAAGTAGGCCAAAGAAGTAAAATGAAGCAGAGGCCATCTCAACCAATGAACCACCAGGAGGGCAGATTCCGAAAAGGCGGAGCTCGTCTTTGCATAACTCAGGTGGAAATCGAAGAACGCAGAGCGGAAGAAGAAAATGTTCGTAATCTGTGGATTCCGCCAGCCAGCTCTCGATTCTGTTTAAGTAGGTTACACCAACAATCAGTGACGTAGGCCGTATAAAAGCCGGTCGCGGCACCGCAAGGACCAGCATTTTGGTTTGGGATTCGAATTCGGAGAGAGGGTAAGTGATGCTCAGGATTTGTTTTGACTTTCTTAGCCACTGGATACCAAATGGAATGCCTGTGGACCGTACACATTTAGATCCTCTGACTAACTGGATTTTACCAGCTATCGGAATGGAATTGAGTCTCTTGTCCCGTAGCAGTTAATTGCTCTTTAGAAAGATGACAGTTATGCTGTTTAATTAGCAGCTTGTTTCGGAAGTCTGTTTATTAGAACTATCCAACATGACCCCTAATATACGATGATATTATTAATTATTGCATTCCTAAAATATGTTTCGCTTAAACTACGAGAAATATCTTACGACCTTTGAATAACGCCCGAGTATTCATTACAAATGGCAGATAGTTTTTAAAACAGGCAGATAGTTTTTTAAACAGACTTGTAATATTTTATACCGGGTACGTATCTAAAAAGTTTTATATAGCAGCAAATCCAATTATTCAGAGAAATGGACATTCATTATATTTGTTATTAACAGATATTTCTCTCGTTTTGTTGAAAGGTGTGCTCACGTTTAATTTTTTGATTTGAGTATAATTAAGCATAAATACTATAAAAAGTATAAATATTTCATTTACCTTTATTATTAAAAATTACACTCCTATATATGCGTAAACTCTATGATTCTTAATTATTAAGTGGTTTAAACGTATTTCATTTCATAATCTTTATACATTTGAACTTATTTTCAACTGAAATTTTATTTTATAAACTAACCTTATTACTGTTATTAGTATAGTTTTAGTATTTGCGAATAAATTTTCAAAATGAATAAAACTGTTAATTCGGAATTGAAAAGCAGGTTACGTCTGCTGTTATTAAATTCGTGTACCAAGAAATACATTTTAATAGTTAGTAGTATCCAATCAGGTACTAATTATCGATACGCTAGTGAATTTTTAAGCTAAATTCTATCTGATGTTACATATATAACAATAAATATAACGATAAATGACTTCATGAAGGATTTCTAAGAAACTTGTATTCGTATTTTTCTACTGAAATTGTGCTTCCAGTACATTAAAAAATACCAAGTTTTTTCTTCAGTAAAACGTGCAACAGCAAAGTAGAAAAAAAAATCAAGCTCTTCTTTAGCACTCTTATATTTTTAGGGAATTCAATTTACATGAATCAAATCCAAAGTATATAAAACGTATAATTTCTAATGCGTGCACTCGAAGAAAATGGTATGAAGTTATACTACCTTTTTTCTAAAGTATCAATTATCAGACATAATACATTAAATATATGGAAAATATGTTATTGTCTTCATGTAGCACTACGGTATTTACTGACTTCCTGCCTTTTCCCGTTTATTAGTAATCTCTATCATTAAAGCATGTATCTATCCTAATCAGGAAACTTTAGTTTAAAAATTTATTGAATTTTGCAGCTAAAACATATCTCCTTCAGAAAAACTAGTTTTGTCGTTATTGTGAAATAAAAATAAAAATTTATTTGTACGTGAATAAATAATTTATCTCATTACATAGTTTTTAACTGCTAAATGAATAAATATGCTTCAATCCCGCTTTATTCTAAATTTATACTTTAAAATGATATTTTTTCCTGAACAAATATAAATAAATGATGTGCATCAAAACAATTATTTTGCATTTTATCTTCACCTTATTTATGAAAAAAAAAACAGGTCTAGAAGAGGGAAAGGGTCTTTAAGAAAACCATTAGCCATAATAGTATGATATATTTATTTCTTTTTGGCCATACTAATGACACTTGCAGCAAGTGAGAGATAATTAGACTAGATTGTAAGGTTTAAAGTATAGTAAGGTGTCTACAGAGACTTGTGTCTTACAGCTTCATATCAGCTTCTCCCCGCGACATACTAGAACCTAAATTCGCCCATCAGACATGTGAATGGATTATTTTTTCAAATGAAAACAATTCTACGATGGCAGTCATCAGCTCCCGTTTACTAGAATCCAGTTGAAGATGTGACGTCTATTTGCTCTGAAAGGGAATTGAGAAAAGTGTGTCAATATTATTCCGCTTGTCGGAAAAGAAAACTAGTAAAATAATAGTAGATGGATCACGCAAGATGAAAGCATTTCCTCTGTCATTTGGGGCAACTTAATTCAAAAAAAAAATTTTTGTTAGTATTTCTTAAAAACTTAAAAGCAATCACAAGCAAAGAGGGAAAAGGCAGGAGAAAATAAAAAACAATTTCAAGCAAAAATGTGGTTGTTTCACTGTTTTAGAAGTAGATACTATTTCTTCTGTATGATCAATGGTGTTCGCAGTTAATAACAGAAAAGCTCGCATGATGAATATTCGAAGCATAAAACTGGTAGGCAATCTTAATCATTGGTTGAAACAGATTTCCGAGATGAAGTAATCATTCCTTACGTTGGACACTATAATCCCTGTTCTCGAAATTTCGAGATCGTGCTTCGAAATTTTAATGCCTATGACAGGATAAATATGCTTTTCCTATTTACAAAAAACTTTGTTTAAGTAGTCAAAGACGTTAACAAAAATTGTATTTATTTTGCTTTTATTAGTGAAAATGGTATCGACAAGTATTGACATCTCAAAATACATCATGGAAAGCTTAGACTATCTGCTAATTTCGAAACTTCGCTGAATAATAGACACCTAGTGTTTTATTTGCAAGGTTTTCCTTAATGAAGTGTATAAATAATGAATGATTATAACATTTGAGGTCCAATATCATAAATTCTATATATATTATATCCTAAAACAACTCACTTCTACTAGAATTTCACATTGTAAGGCAGCAGAAGCCGATATACAAGAGCATTGAGACAAAGCCCGAATGACGTTATACTTTTTCAATGATATTTTATTCATTCTGACACAGGCGTATACTGTTGAATTGAGAGAAAAGCTGGCATTATCTACAGTGATACAGGAACTGGGAAACGTATTAAATGTTTTAAAACTGTGTTATTTCATTGCAATAAAATCTAAATTATGTAGCCAACTCCAACTTTGCATATTTATTTCCCCTCGAATGCCTCTATGATTTTCTAAATCAAAAAAGCAAATGCCGAAAGACGTTCTGTAAAAAAAATTGCGAAGGTTGCCTGATCAAAGGTAACAAGAAAGAAACAATCGGTAAAAGGACTGCTTTGAAGATAGGTAGTGAAATGCTGCAGAACATGAAAATGTTTATGAATAGTAAAGAGAAACAGTATTGGGATAGTAATATTATTCTGAAAAATACATAGTGAACCAGGCATCTTTTCATGTCTGAAACGCTAAATACTTCTGTAGGAATTGTCTTCTCGCTCTGATGCCGGGTATAGTAAAGACTGTCCAAAGCAATATCACAGACGGTTCCAAATGATCTTGGTTTCTATGGAGATGGTTGCTTTAGAAAAATGATATTCATCACCAATATGTACTTGTACCTTCAGAAATAATAGTCACTTAAAGAGGTAGTCGCCACAACAGAGTTCGATTTAATTTGTGCAGCAGAATTTAATAAGAATTATAAAAAAAATTAACTGCTAAATATTCTAAACGAGCGGATAAAGACTGTGCTAATTTGCGTCAGATAGTCGTCATTTCTTGCATTTTAATTTTGTACAACTTCATTTGTTTTTCAGCATGTTCAATAAACCTTTTTGGAATTTGAAGATATTAATTTGTATAACTTCAAAGTCTCCATTCTTCTTCAATGCATTTTTTACTCTAACTATATGACCTCTCGGAATAAATTAAAATTTATTGCTGCTATATTTTATCTCGATTTGGGATAGTTTGAACACTTGTCTAAATTTTCTCAATTTCTCCTGTAACATTGATCCCTAAATATCTTTCCATTGAAATAAATTTTCGAAGCATTAAAAACCTTTTAAATTAAAACATGAGTTAAAACTAAAGGCTAAGTATATTATTTTTAAGGTTATAAATTAATTACAGAGATATATTATAAAGAATCTAGTAATTATGAAGTTAATTCGAAAGCATATTAAAATGTTATTAGTTAAAATATAAATTTTTGCTTAAATTTGTTTCAGTGCGAATATGAAAGAAAGAATTTTTGAAACGATGATAAATAAATATTTATGCCACTTTTGTGTGCGGAAGCATCTTTATGGAACAATTCGTGATTATTTTAAGGAACTACACTTCTACAATTTTTTTCACTTTATTTTGCTTATTTCAATTCGCTACTTATTCTAATGACAAATAACTGCTAAAACGTATCTCTAAGTGCTGTGGAAGAATAAACTGTTTTTCTAAACAAGGTAGCAAACATGAAGTGTAATAAATAGTGGCATAATTCTTTAAATGTGTCATTCATGGAAATAGCCTTTGTTTTCACTGTTTTATTATAATATCTGCATATTAAGTCTAAAGTAGTTTTAAAAGAAAAATTAAACATGTTTGTATAATTTTAAAAATTTGTAAACCTAATTTTCGTGTTTTAATTTTTTTTCATTTGTTCTTGTGACATTATCTAACTTAAACTGAATTAAGTTATATCTTTTACAGGTGAAGAATTTTTAAAATGAAGTTAGTGATTTTTAGCCTCCTATTATTAGGTATGTTCCCGTTTTTTATAGTTTCCGTAGTCATATTGAAATCAGTTATTTAACTAGACGCAGTGGGCGCATATATAATAACTTAATGTTTAAAATTATACATTTCGGAAGAATTATTATTCAGTCCATTTAAAAGTATTTCTTAATGAACTGCCTATTATGACTACTGGCACTATATTTCTAAGAACAAATTTAAATTAAAGAAAGTGTTTCAGTGTTAAAACTTAAGATTAAAGTTTACTCCTGAAAGAAATGTTTGATGTTAATTTTTGTAATTTTTAAAATACTGAAAATTTTAAGAATATAAAAGTCACAAATTTTTTAAATTGCAATATCATTTTCATATTTGTACTTCTGTTTACCATTTGAAGCACTTTTAGGCTTGACATTTTTTACAAATCTACAACTGTAAGAATTAAACTCCTAAAATTCAAGATCAGAGCATAAGATTATATAGACTGCCCAAAACAGCTATACCAATATGCAGAAAAAATTTGCTGTGATATCATTCCATAATAAATAATGCTACTTGGAGATATTTACATGGATTTATGAAAAAAATAAATGTTTCAAGACATAGGTATACATTAGTTTCGTTGGATAGCATGCGTGCGATTAGGTAGGTGCAACAATTACATCAAAGTAAGTGAAGCGACAACAGTTTCTAATTCGTCCGAACATGACGAAACAATAAAATAATGGAATATAATGGAAGCAATAAAACTTTTAAGAAGAAATTTTAAAAATTAATAATTTCTTCTTAGTAGTACTAAGACAATAAAATTCGTGTTTCCTTATTTTGTGATTAAGTGCGTTGCAATAAAAAAATTAAATTAGACTGTATTTCTATACATCTGTGTAACTCCTCACTGTTCAACACAACCTTCTGTTGTACTGTGCAGGTACTAATAGATTTAACACATAGTTTAGTCTGATTATTCTCAAACACACGCCATTTCACTACTCAAACTGACTAGATTTGATGTCGCTTAGAATTTACTAGCAACTAGGCTGAACTTAACGATCGCTTAATGCGGCTTTATGCTATTATTAAAACATGTGGAGTATTAATACAGCAAAAATTCAATCAAATAAAAAGGGCTTGATTTATAAATTTCAGATTATATTCTAACGCTTATAAGAATTTAACATTAAAGCTAAAAAAATTTTTTTTAAGTTGTATTTAAAAGACTAAAAAATGTAAATATCTTTAAAAAATTGCAATTTGATCTTTATAATGCAGAATTCGTTTGATACCTGAAAAAATTTTAATCATTTGCTATATGGCTTAACTGGTGTAAGAATTAGTGTTCCATAAGTTAAAGATGCAGCATATAAAAGCTTATATTTAAAATGAGCTGCTCACAACGATAAATCCAAATGCTAAGGTAAACATTTGCTGTGGAATTATTTCAACCTTTAAAGCCACACGGAACTATTAAACAATTAAACATTCAATAACGAAAATACTTAAATGTTTAATACTTCGTAGCGCATTTATGTCATAGGATCGCTTAGCCCGCAGCTTGCAACAAACAGTATATCCTTCAAGTGCGATACCTTCTATTTTGCTGGGAACAAGAAATTCACGAACTGAAAAAATAAGCCCTTCGAAATGATTTTCTACAAAGTGTTTAAAATATATCTAATAAAATTTACGTATCATAAATAGTAATAAAAGTTAACTTATATTAACACGTGATATTTGGACAAATTAAAATGCTATTAGCGATTTTAGTCAGTTAATCGATTCTCAATTTCAGTGTATTCTTACTTCAACCAACAGACTACCTAAAATTCAACTAAAAGTATAACAAAAATAATTGCCACTCAAATGGGATCTACATAAACGATATGCAACCCTTAAGTCAACTGAACGACGAGCGGAAATAATGAATGCTGCCAGAATCTACTAACTACTATATTCTGATGCACACAGCGTTCTCTTAATTATTAACTAAAGGTAATTTCCTAGGTAGATGAAGGAACGAGGAATAAAAGAGGTTATCAGAATTAAAAAAACTGGTTAATTTAGTAGGGACACTGCAAAAAATTACTTCAGAGAATTTTGCCTTGACGTGCATTTTTTTAAGCATAGAAACATTGTCCTTGTTCTTTCCTTTAAACCCGCCCTTGTGTTGTCAAACATTTCTTATCCCTTAAACTTATGCGAACTAAATATTTTTAAATCAACGTTAGAATTCTTTTCCTTCAAAATTCAAAACGGTTAGCTACTAATCTTTGTCATTTTGAAGAACTGTCACGCTTCATTAATAATTTAAAAGGACTTCAGTGTGAAATAATTTTCTGCTACTGTTAAGTATATGAAAAGCATTTTGCATTCTATTATTAGTAAATATATGGCAATATTTAAAAAAAAAATCCAAAAAAAAAAAGGTCTCAAAGCCTTTCAGTTTGCATCAGAATATAGTAGTTAGTAGATTGTATATTACGACCACAGGGGCTTTTTTTAACGTTTTGTGTGTTACCTTTATTAATTAAATATCATGTTCTTCTCACTTAAATCATAAAATTCAAATTTAATATTTGGTGGCAGCAATTTGAAAAGGGAAACGTCGTTTATAGTGAAGCAACGCAAAATGCCCAAACAAAATTAATAGCCATTCTGGGCAAATTGCCCCTTTGAGCTGAAAATTATGCTTAAATTGTTGTTATTTAATTCTTTAAATTACTATTATAGTATATATGCATAAATTCCTAAACGATTTGCTAATCTTTTTCAGGAGTGTGCGTTTATGCAGAAGATAGGGTAAGTTAATTTTAATTGAATTAATAAATTTTATGTTTATTTTTGAATTTTACTGATTCACATAGTTTAGCCCCATTTCAGTCAAAAGGTGTTGTAATGCACCTTAAATAATAACAATAAATTGATAGTTACTTAAACAGCATTTCCCAAATTGAGTTCCTTGAGATAAAAAACAAAATTCCAAGAAGGAAAAAATTTGAAAATGATCCAGATACCTTTATAGCTGCTTAGACGAAACTATATGTGAATCAGGTTGCTTTTATTGCATATCTTACAAAGAAACTATATTTATAGTAATAACCCACAATCTGTACTTACTGCATTTATTTTTCTAACTGCATTTTACTGCATCTATTTCTCTAATTGCATTTTTCTGCATCTATCTCTCTAATTGCTAGAAAAGTGTGCTATTATTTCCTTGGGCCGTAACAGATTGGATACATTATGATGAAGGCTTTGCGAGCCATATTCTTTCAAAAAATATTTTTGTTCTGGAATTCTGGATCCAATTTCAATAATAATTTATGCATACATTGTTTTATATGAGACCCAAAGTATTATTATCGTCATCGAGTTGCTAGGCAATGAAACTGAAAACTTGAGATATAAAATAAACTGGTCCCCACTTTATTTTCTATCCCAATTGTGATTTTTCTTCTTGGCTTTCTTTTTTACCACTATGTTTTTTTATGATTATATTTTCTCTTAACGTTTTGTTCTCTTCGAATGTTTACGTTCGTAATTTTTTCACTTTGGTGTTCCCAGCGATATAAATTTCACTATATAGAAAGAAAATTATGCATATGCCTTACCTTCAACTTTCGGAGAAGGATTTAAGTGGAGTTGAGTTATTTACGAGAGATAACAGATTTCTGCTTGGCATCAGAAACGGCTTATAGACTGAAAATGACAGCCTAACTGGATAAGAACAGTTCTTAGAAGCGTTTCACTAACCTGTTTTCAAATTATATCTCTCTTCCTAATTCCTTCACTCTCATTCAAATGAAAAACATTTTAATGCAAACTTTATTTTTTTAAGTAATTTACATTTAAATTTCCTTTCAACTTGTACATATAATTCAAAGGATCGCGATTATAATTTTCAGTTAATTGAGTGTCCAACTTGATATTTTCTTTCTTTCAAAGAAAAATATACAAGTCGGTTGCATATATTTACGACATATGAAAAGAAATCACAACATTCTTCCCATCGCCACCCTATAGAAAATAAAATTTTTATTTAAAGGCATTTGGTTCTGAAACAAAAAGTATTTTCTTAAGCGGTGCATTCATTTATGTGCTAAGCTAAAACATTTAAGAGATTCAGTTACGTTGAACAAAAAACAAAATTGTGCGACTTGATTTGATTAAGAAACACTGTTATGCTAGACAAGGGAATTTAAACTTTTAACATTATTAGCTCATAATATTTAATAACTTCTGCATTATAGTTGGTTGTACTAATACCTCAAGAAAGAAATATAGTTCGTAACGCTGTATCTCTAGTCTTCATCCTTACATTACTGGGAAAATCTAAATTCTTATATGTTTTAGATTGATAAATTAGAAATCATTTGCTTTAGTCTGCTCCACTTAACGCTTGTACTACAAGGCGGTGAAAGATGGTGTACAATATACTCTGTACCCTTGTGCAGATAAACATAAAGCTATTTTTCTTAATAAATATTTAGTGATAAAATGATACCGGTGAAAAAACCACGGCAAAAAACGCCGCAAACGAAAACATTGCGGAGAATAAAACATGAGGAGAAGACATCGTCACGTACATTTTGCTTTATAGTTGGCATCGTGGTAGAAAAGAGCAAAGAGAAAAATCGCAGTTCTTAAAACATCGGGGTAGAAAATAAAGCGACGAACAGCACTTCGCAGTTTCTTCGCAATTTTATTAATTTAAGGTGTTCCATTTTTGACTTAATATTTTAAAGATGTTTTTAAATTTCTAACTTTTGTCGCCACCTTAATTTCCAACGTGATGTTTCTATACCGCATTGTTTTGCTATGTTGTCTCCTTTATTTTCTACCTCGATGTTTTCGCCTGGAGTTGTTTTCTCCTCGACTTCCTTAAGCGATATTTTCAGCGAGTGCTCGCTGATATCTCACAATATATTTCATCATAGAGCGTCTTTGATGTCTAGTCGTGAACTCTTTGGACTGTTTATATCTTTCGTCCGTTGACCATAAGGAACACAGTGATTCCCACAACCACTACTACCACAACTCCTCTCGGAGGCGAGTTACAGGAACAGAGTATTCTAAATTATTATGGTAGCTGAAAGAATGGAAGCTTAATCATATTTGGCTTTCATGGGAAAATTTCAACGTCCTAACCATCAAACTCCTAACAGACTTGGAGCGAATTATCACATAGCATGACTCTAAATTATCATTCTGAAGTAACAGCAGAGGTTGAAAAGGTTTAAAAAACTTTTTATTGGATCAAAACTTGAACATAAAATTCACATCTCGTGGTTATAGTTCAACCACCACTTACTGCGATGAAATTTAAAGTAATAGTTTAATTTAAAAGTTAAGCAAGTCTAGTAGTCAAAGACTACGGGATTGATTTAACGCGAACTTGTCTCAAAGATTTCTCACCGGCGTAACAATTTAAATGTCGGTAACAATAAAGCCAAGCTGAATAATTACAATCTTATCAGAGCTGGAGATCCTAGTAATGCAGTAATTGGCCTCGAGATGCAGAAACATGCTCAGTCTTATAATCTAGAACTATACTATGTCACCGATTTGCATTCTGATGAGGAAATGGAAAGGAGAAATGACACTAAAGCTGAAATTATAAATAACTGGTTACTTAAAATAATAATAATCCTACAAACTGAAATTTTAAAAAACATAACAAAACGTTCCAGAAACGTGCAAACAACAAGTAAACGAAAGGCATTCACACAACTTAGCGACAGCTTAAAAAATAATTTTAAAAGAATGCTGTCAGAAAATTGAGTTGGCGTGGAGTTTTGCTTTTGCAAAATTAGTATTATCGAACTATCTTACAAGGATATATATTTCTCTTATATATATATATATATAAGAGAGAAAATTTATTGGAATGAAATGACTTTTGGTTAGTAATAAAAGAAAAATATCTGTTGTTAAAACAATATGTTTTCATTTACAACTTCATCTTTGCACCAAATTGGGTTTTCCGAAATTTCTGCAATAAAAAGCAAGCACCTTGCAAATTAGAAATGGATATGATAATGGCTATAAAAATTTGATTCCAAGATTTGACAAGATGTGTAGAGAAAATAATGAGCTTATTCATTTCATTGACTGCGCTATGGAACTATGCTATGTTTTCTTGGCAATGCTGAAAGATCATGATTCTGTAAGGTCACAATAAGGGAAAATGTTCGGAAGACATTTGGTGTTGCCCTCCAAAATAAAAATAATGAATGTTTAATAATATATACAGTGTGTTTCTTGACGCATAAATATTTTTAATGCAGCTAAAAAATTCAAATTTCAATATGAATGATAATGATGAATTTATTTAAATAATCGATGAAATTTACATTCGCGTAAATAAAAATTGCTATCGGGCTTACTTGAATAGTTTCCCTCCATGTGTATTTCCCCTTAGCTTTTTTGATATATGATTTAGAATAGATTTGATATATGATTTAGAAATCAGACATGTGTATATTTATTTGCATTTGATATGAAGCACTTTAAAATGTAAATTAGGCAAATTTTATGTCTTTTCATATTGCAAGGAAAATAGTGATTACAAATACTTAAATTTTGTTTTAGTAATCTGATTATGAGTAGATATTAAATTTCAACATTTAGTTACTATTTTGAGGATAAAAAATTTATGCCTTACCATTGGTTCTAGAGGTAGGAAACAAAAATTCTGCATTTTATTGAGCATGATAATTCTTTCCGTCCTCCCCAACAGTTGGGCGCTTGCTGTAAAATATTCGTCCAGAAATGCTGAACCTATCAGACATATAGCCGTTTTATTTGCTGAGCAGTTTTCGCAGGATGCCTCACATTGAGTAAACCGATATTGCACCCACAAAGAGGAAGGGAAAGTAATCTCACATATAGTCATATCTTATGACGGATTCGCATTATCATTCATTCTGTGTTAACCATTACACAATCGACGGCAGCTGAATGGGTGAATGTGCATCAGTCACTTTCCATTAACATTTTGAGTTCAATTATCGCATTCATGAGACATGACAAAATGCAATAAGGCTTCATATAACAAACTTCATCAGTTATCTGGAACCTCTTATTGATTAATTTAGAATATAATAAAAATTCCTTCCTTTTCTTGCAATATAATGCTCGATAGTGATTAGCAGCTAGTTGGGTACCCAATCAGTTCAATCAAAAATAAGATGCATGTGTTAAATGCACTCATACTGAATAAAACCGAAAGGAAAAGGAAAATCAGTAGTTTTTAGTAGTTTCAATTGGCAAAACATTCAATTTTGTTAAAATTTGTGTAACTGAGTTAATAAAACTCTCGATGTTCCTCCAAACTAAAGAGTATAATCCCGATACTTGATAGAAATAAGAGCTATGCAAATTATGCTTGTCAGCAGTTATTTACCTTCCTTTGGAAACCTCACTCATGTTTTTAAGACATGCAATGAAAGAATATTAACCCTTTTTTTTTTAAATTAAAGATAAACATACTGATGCATTTGTTTTAAATTTTGCTTTTGTAACTATTTTCATTAATTTTTTAGGTTAAACGGCAAGCAAGTTACACTTTTCCTGGTCCCCGGAACGAAAGGGGATATCGCCAACAAAACGCTGCCCCTGTTTATGTCGAAGAGCAAGATGAAGATGCTTATCCAGCTCCTCGTAGACAGTTCCAGGCGCAGCCAGTGCAGCCCCAGTACGCTCCTTCTCAACCAAGAGCACCTCCACCTCCCCCTCCGGCGCCTGTTGCACCTCCCGCTGCACCTCCAGCGCCTGTGTATGAAGCTCCGAGGCCGGCAACCCAAAGTGCACCACCTGCGAGAAGGAGAGCCTCTTCGTCCAACAGTCGTGCCAATAAGGTAGATGATTCAAGTTAAAAAAAAAAAAAGTTTATATGCATTAAATTGATGATTATGACACTCTTACTCTACAACTTAAAGCTTTAAGATTAATTTTAATTACGTATACGGGTGCATCAGAGTCATATATTGAAGAAGCACAAGTATGTGGCAGAAACTCAAAAAATTACGTTGCCACGTATATATTTTTGCATTAACAGCTTCAGCAATTATTCTGGGTCCCTAAAGTTAAGCGCATTATGTCAGTGAATCACGAAAAGAAGAACTGTAAATGTTGCATAACATTCAAATTAATAGATTCCGTGTCTGCTTTAAAGCTTTCGAGCTCTTTAAACAGCCGCGTAAATGGGACTTGAGACGAATTCCACTCGTTCTAAGTTGAGATAATGTGTGCATTGAGTGCACAGTCTGAATTTGTTAGTATGCCAGACAATCAAACTGGGCGTTGTCGCTTTTCATAAATTTGTTTCGGTTTTCGAAGTTTTGACTGTACTGCATACGTAGAGGGTCAACAATTATAATGCTGACATACAGATCAGACATGTGTATATTTATTTATTCGTCAAGTAGTCTTCGTTTTAACCGATATTTGAATCTGGAAACAGTGTTAGTATACTATTATGTTGCTCCAGGTGAAAGCAGCCGGCCTGTATAAAAAATTAACATACCCTATCCAGCGAATGTCGCGTAAATTCTGCGTCCCTTAAAGTTCAACATTTGTTCTAATCGAATGGAAGTGTAAACCAAAATTATAGTAATTGTTAAACTATTAATCGAATGGAAGTGTAAACCAAAATTATAGTAATTGTTAAACTATCTTGAAGCTATGCTGCATTATGCAAGATTAAATATTCTCGTTTGTAGAAAAAAAATGCAGTTACCCATCTAACTGGAATGAATTTTGCATTGTTGATTTTACAGTCGAGAAGCCTCAACCCATAGAACGTAATATTCTTAACTTAAATGGACAGGTGATTCTATTTCCTTAAATATTAAATAATATAATGCCGTTGAATAAAAATTATTGCGATAACGTTATTTCTAATTAAAGAAACAAACTCTGAAGGATGTGTAAAAAAATGCATAGTTTAAAAGTATCCAAATCTATACTTTCCCGGAGGAAGAGAAATAGTGGCAAATAATAAATCTAAAATGAAATATGTTATTGACATTTCAAAACTGTATCTTTCTTATAGATCTAAAATTTTGTTCTTTATTAATGCATAGCGTTACTGGAAGTATTTTTATATCACTGTGATATATTCTTTTCTCTCATCTTAGGCAAAAGATTTTAGCGCGTTTTTACACACGGGTATAAAGTATTTAACGCACAGGTATTGGGTATTCAAAAAAGGAAGCAGACTTTACGTACTCGCAATTTTTTTTTTTTTTCTTATGCTCTAAAAATGGGCCACACGTCATCTAATAGGGAAAATATAAATATTTGCTATGCTTTTCACTTTCTATATATACGCATCTTCTGTAAATTAACATGTGCCAAAACATAATCTAATTCATGTTACAGCCATTATACTTGCACAAGAGTTAATGGATGCATGGTCGCAGCAATTTCCTACATAAGTTCCTGTGGTTTAACAGATAAAGGTGACATATGCTTTGATGCTTCTCTAGACAAAAAATATTACAAAGGACCAAATCTAGAATTCTAAAGTTCAAAAGCGCAACCTAAAGGAGTCTGACATCACTTCGTTTGATTAGCTGGGTGAAAAACAAACAGCTGCTTTCAAATTTTAAGAAATAACTAAATTCGGAAATATAAGCTTACTATACTTCTATGTTTTGAAAGATAAAAGGCCATTGTCCAGTTTATAAATTTTAAGAAAAGGCTATTTAAAGTTCGACACGTTTCTCATCACGCATGTAGAGTTTATAAAAATATATTTTCGGAGGTTAATCATTTTTACTTTTTGTACGAAGTAAAAAGGAAGTTATTATAATAGCGAAAAAAATAGGGGATCATATTTCAGCAGAAATATCCATTTTGACGGTTTCCGAACTCATTCGGACTATTTTTTGCGTGATTTCTATATAACTACAGACAGAACAAAAGACTCTTTTCTCCGAAACGGATTTTGAATGGATCCAACAGGGATTTTTTTTCCGTGACGTCTATATGACGTACGTATGCATGTATCCCGCATAACTCGAAAACTATTAATCGTAGAATGTTAAAATTTTGTATAAGGAACTAGTTGTGCACCTCGCTCTTTTATTGCAATTGACAATGCCAAACGTATATTATATATATATATATATATATATACACATACATTTATAGCTACTCCCTGATCTGTCTTTATCCGGCCTTTATTTTCGCTATCGCCGGCAGTAGTCATTTATTCCCAGTTGCAAAAGTGTTTTAAATAATGAAACTGACCGGGATATTAATTTCAAAATTTGCAATTTTTAATGACATTTTCAACTTACCTTATGCGACTGACTGGTTAATTAAGTTAGAATAATTTGAGAAAACAAGCTTAAATGAACTGCAGCAAAAATCCTAAAGAGTTTAAATGGCAAAAATTGACAGTGTAATATTTTTAAAACATTAATTTTGGACAAATAACAAAATCTAGCTTTTAAAATGGGGTTTCCCGGTTCCTATACTTATATTTGGGAAATTTTTATACTCGTTATGGAAAAATAAAATTACGAGAAGTTTGACTTTTGTACGAGAAAAATTAACTGGAATACTTAATTTCAAAATTTGCAGTCTTTGACATCATTTTCAACTTGCCTTGAGAAATAGATTTATTAAGTTAGAATAATTGGATAAAGGAAGTTTAAATGAAGTACAGCAAAAAAATGTGTACCATTTAACAGGAAAAGAAAGTCTTGTGTTGTCCACATCAGATTTTGTTTTACTTTATAAAATAAGCAATTAATAATTCTAAATTGCATTTAATTTTTTAATATGTTCTACAGATTTTTCTTTGACATTTGTCTCTATGGAAACTAAAGAAATGTGATCATTAATCTTCCTAATGAGTGACTACTGATTAAAACAATTTACTAAGGCAAATAATAGTTAGCAGTTTTTATTTTGAATAAAGCTACAGAAAGTTACAATTTTTAATATTGCGACTGGGAAATTCATTCATTATTCATTCCCCCATAAAGAGAAGTTAATTTTGAAGCTCTCGCATATTCAGATTCTTTTGAAGATATTGGCCTATGATGTTTAAATGTTTAATATCCCTTTTGGGGGGATATTGACCGCTTTTAATTTACAATGATAAGTGTAAGAAATGAGCATTTATTTTATTTTAAAGCACATATCGCAATGACTTTTTGAGAATACATATAACTTTAATGACATAATGAAAGGAACTAGTACTTTGGTTCCTGAGATAATTTTGATGCTAATGAAAAAATAAACTCTTTTTTCTTTTGTCAAGATACAGAATTAATTTCACAGTTCTTCTTCATTGAGAGCTAAATTTAAAAGCAGTCACTAGTAAATCAGGAGTAAATGAAAAAAAATAAAATACAAAAGCAACACAAATATCAAGTTTGCACTACTAAAAAAGTCGTAACCACTTATTATTGTTGCAGTAATAATAAAGACATTTATAAAGTTCAGTATTACTTGTAATTTATTATTATTCACAGTTTATTTATATTACAAATCTAGTTAGCTCTCGGAAAATGTTGTAAATTATTTTCAAGAAAGAAAAAGAAGTGTAATTAGGAGTAAAGTTTTATTTTATTTTTAATGAGAGCAAACGATAGTTTTTGATTCTGAATCTACTATGCTATTTTTAAAGGAAATTGCGTAACTGTTAAAAAATCCACTTTTGTTATTTTAAATTTCAATAAATTTCTCTTTTAGAACATTTGGTATTCTTTATTTAAAATTCTAATACCTAACATAATTTTTCCCTAAATTTGATGAATTATATAGATTCAACACGCAGTTATTCAGCATCTAATTAAAGGGGCAAGCTGGTAACGGTTTGACATACTTTCTGTACTCAATAAATATGAAATGGATGAAAGTCACATTCGCCATTCATCACCAAAGTGTAACATTCTGAAATAATAATATCCCATTCATAAAAAAATTAAGTGTTTCACAATTACATTTTATACTTAGTTTTAGGGAAAGTGTAAATAATTTAAAATACCCATGTTATCCGAATCACTAATAATTTTACAGTTTATAGCTTGAAAAATAAGTCAACTGTAAGCTGTGTATGTTATTAGTATTACATCAGCTTGAAACTGCTTTCAGATATGCAAAATAGCTTTGGACAGAACTTCTTTACTTGGAATATTAATAAATAGTTCTTATTAACATTATTAATTTAAAGTCGTTCTCCTAGGCATTACTGGGGTCGAATTTTAATTAAAATTTTAACTATCTCTAAAAGTTTCTTCATTTCTAAATTATGTGTAACGTTTTAACTAAATCTTGAATCTGAATTTTTGCCTCATACATCGACTTTTTAAAATCTTTTATGTAACACGAATGTTAATATTTCATTCTTAAAGAGGAAAAATAGTGTTCAGTGAGAAAACTCGTTTAGTTCTACTCTAGCTCTCTTGTTTTACGTACAATTAATTACCCGAGCGCAATAATTTAGATATTTCTCGGAAATCTTCAATTAATTTGTCAGCATATTTTCAAGCAGCGTTTTTTAAACTATTTAGCCTTGCAGCTTACATGCCTACAAGTATACTTAATCACGACTGACATCGATGTAATCGCTTTGGAAAAAAGAAGGGTGCTAAAATGTGAATTCCTAAGATACTATAATGTAACAATGAAGAAATAATAAATAATCCTGCGCAACATATTAACATTTAATTGATAATTACAAATTCATTCCCAGTTACGTGTAAATATACATGAGCGACGAATACAATTTTGATGTGAGAGACGTATAGCTGGGCATAGCTGTCATAGCTGATGCATAAGTATGTGGTTGCAACCATAGCCAGTTGAACACTTCTTTTTATCATAGACAAAACATGTTTCAGAAATACAGCTAAATCAGCAACAATTGAGAACTTAAACAGTTAAGCTTATATTTTTCACATTTTTATCATATATTGGAAGTAACAAATATAAGCGACGTATTGGCATTTTATCACTTCTATGTTAACCGGTCAGCAAGCGAAAGAAGAATGCATAGCTTGCAAAATGAAAATTAGGTTGATATTAACATGTTTATAGATTTATTTTACTGTTATTGGTTTAATTTAAGTTTGGATTTGCAAATTGCATATTGTTAATGGGTGAACGATTATTTGCGTTACGTAAATACGCGTCATAAGAGATTTTGCTTAGTAAAATTATTTGCGTCATAAAAGTTATATAAGAATGATGTAACAGACATTATTTGTGAAATGACGCAGTTCAAAGAGATTTATTATAAGCATGTTACTATTTTAAAGTTGGAAGGAAGAGGTAACCGAATAAAATAGGAAACTTAAAAAGCTAGTACTTATCACTGTTAGGATTTTATTTTACATATTTTACGTAACCTTAACTTTGTACTTACGTGTACAACTATACAATAAAAGAAAGAGCCCTTCGGGAGAAAGTTTTTACAACTTATGAAAACTTGTCTTCCAGTCAGCAATGCTTTCATATATTACTTATACTTTTTTTATCCCGATACTTTTTTATCCTTACAAATTCCTATAAATTTTTATCTTCATTTAGATAATTCATTATGTACCATAATAATTTACTCTTATTACCGGCCATTATCATATGTATAAACTGCTGTATAAAATCTCAAGTAATTCATTTATATTTAAATAACTAATTTTTTTCACCAGGTTTTCGTAATTGTAATGGAAAGAAATAATTAGTAGCAAACTGAGTTATTGAATGTCACTTTTGATACATATATTTGGATGCATCTTAAATCTTAAAATGCTTTTTTTATTCAGAACCGAGCTGCACCTCAGCAGTCACTAAACGGACAGGCTGATGATGAAGAAGAACCTGGTCCAGATCCTTTGACTCTCCTTCTCGAAGATTCTCAGTTCACTTGCAGTGGAAAGAATGATGGTTACTATGCTGATGACAGTGTCAATTGTCAGGTATTCCACTACTGCGTGGGTGGAGCCAAACATTCTTGGATGTGTCCAGAGAACACTGTTTTCCACCAAGTCCATCTCAATTGCGTGCCGGATGCTCAAGACATTTGCGCTCAGTCTCAGAAATTCCATTTCGTTAATGATTACCTATACAAAGTAAGTGCTCTTATAATTTTTATTTACTTCTTATGTTCATAAAATATCTTTTATAGGAGTATATTTATTACATTATATATATTTTTTATTCAATACATTGTAATAAATTATATATTCATTACAATTTTTCTACCCGAAAAAGCTACTACTATTTTAACTTGATCATTAAAAAAAAGTCATCTGCGCTGATAAGAAATGAGAAAGAAAAGCATCATTCATTTCGCATAAGAGATACTATGAATGAAAGTTTCCTTTCCCCGGTTTTAATTCTTTCTTTTTTCTGCTCCAAACTGATATTTTTTAAGGAATTGCTAGTAGCATCGTTGATGTATCTCTTCCTTATGAAACAGTATAGATTTTAATCGGTGTTAAATAGGTATATGTTAATGAATTGAATACTGAAACTTTTAAAAACTTATATCCTCATATCAATGAACACTTTAATTATTGTTGGAAATGTTTTTCCTAGTCAAAAATTAGAAAAAAAAAGAAAGTAAACAAGTATTTTATTCCATGCTTGCTGCAATTTAATAAAAAATATTTTAAAAAATTGCTAATGTAGTTTTTATTTCTTAGTTATCTTAAAAGATATCTATAAACATCATTTTCACTTTAAGTTTCCTCTTTCAAATTTACATAAAAATTATTAACATGATTATTTTCACTAAATTTAAAATTAAAATAATAAATAATATAAACTAAAAATATTATTTTGTTATTTAAAATAAAAAAGAAACATGAAATCTCACGATTAAAAGATATAAAGGGTGAATCTTAAATAAATCCTGACATTAACTCATATTTTCAAACATCGAAAAGTTATATGGAAAGTTTACAACCACTATAATTCTCAGCGTTCCTCTTATTCCTATGATTGACTCTACAATGTGTTTCATCAATTAACTTTATCAATTTTCAGGAAAATTAAATTATTAAGGATATGGGAAATAAAAAGTTAGCCAGTTTCATATCAAACTTCCATTAATTATGTTTCATATTCTTTTTATCAATTCAAATCTATGTCACTATACAATTTCCCTTTCGCTTAAAATTAACTGTAATATATAATAAGTAATTTTCTTTATTATTTGTAGCTCTTAATGGGGATAGTTGGTTGTTAGCATTGTACATCCCTAAAAAATGAGATCAGATATTCTTACTTTGAGTATTAAACACAAATCCATTTTGAATAGTAGATAAACAATGATGATATATTATAGAAAAAAATATACTTACTTTTAAGAAAGTTGACTTGAATATTTAGAAAATCGCTCCTTATGCTAAAACTAAGTGGTTGGAAATGATAATGTGCTGTCAGTATCTTCAAATAAATAAATAACATTATATATATTACCAGATCTCAAAACTCTACAAATTGATTTATATATATATATTGCTTAAAATCTAGTATTGTTAGTAATCAAGTAATTTCAATTTCATCGGTATTAAAATAAATTACAATGCTTGACAAATATAAAGGAATGCAGATATTTTTTTTCCATTTATTCTTTCCTCTGAATGGTGGTCGATATGAATCACTCAGTAGGATGTGTTATTTATAGGATACTAAAGCATGTTTTATATATGTTATGTATACTGTCTACTAAACTGTTAAGAAGAGTTTAATGCATTTATCATTAAAAATGATTTTGAGCTTCGGTTCGAGAAAAATTACTTTTTGCGGAACACGTCCATCGAGAAGATCCCAGGTATGTCAGTCTGGTGAATACGCATAGCCATTCCAGTCTTTCAACACCTTCGGTTTAGAGACTATCAGACAGCTAAACCTTTCTGTCAGGTCATGCACAGTCGTTCATGAACAGAAAGTCTGGACCCACGTTACCACTGAAAAGTTAGGATATGACCCAAGAGAATCTCGATGCAGTACCTCTGGATGCAACAGTAACGATATCAAAGATGTGAAGTAACTGCATTATGATGATGTCAGCATAATGCCTTCCATGCACAAAGACATCTCGCCCGTAATGATCAGTTTCGTAAATAGTCTTTAACTGATATTCCCCCCCCTCTCTCCACGATCCAACAGAATGTCTATGAAGCTGACCTTTATGGCGAAAGAGGCATTGCTTATGTGTGGGAAGAGAACAATATTCACAATAGTAGAATGCCGTTTTACATCTCTGGTGTACCTACAGTTACACCCCAGCGGTAGTGCATCAAGATTCTTTTGGGTCATATCCATCTTTCCAATGGTAAAGTAGATCTAATCTTTCTTTGGCATTCGAAGTGTCTAAGACCCTATAAAAGAAGTTAAACACCTGGCATGGCCTGGATATTCACTGGATTTAAATTCTCTGAAACATAAAGATAGAACGTTCTCGGTAGACGTGTTGGGCAAATAATGATCCTTCCCGCACCATGCGAGAGCTCAGAAGCTCGTTAAATGATGAACTGGACAATGTCCTTCAAACTCCTTTTAATAGTTTACTGTAGAGCATACATAACGGATGGTTCGGTGTGTGATTAGATAGACATGATAACTCTGCATTCGGTATGTGTAGAGAATACTTTACGGTTGATTCGGTATGTGTGATCTTCTCGGGTGCATGCTTTAGTAATAGAGATCATACATCCCGCTTAGGTTTTCAGTCTGTCATTAATTGCACAAAAAAAAATCTGCCGGAAGATAGCTTTTTCATTTCCGCTGTGTTTTTCTGTTTCTTATCCTCTTTATCCCCATGATAAAATTTGTATAATTTCGCATCATAAAAATCACAAAGTACCTTTATAAATTATGCTAGTTTCTAAGCTTACGTAAACGGCTAACTCATCGCTTGATGATACAGTAAAATATATAATAGCGTAATGAAATTTTTATTTATAAAAAAGCAATATATTTCTTTCTAGCTAATATTATTTTTATCGTAAATGATTAGCTGATCTTTAATTATTAATGAGGCACTTTCAAGCCTTAAAATTTCTGAACAGCAGGCATCTTATATTGATAATGCATTACAATTAGAAGTTTTTTAAATAGAAACCAGCAGTCTAATACGTACTGTTAAGAACTGTATAAATAATAGTATTTTTCAGAGGAATATTATTAAGCGACATGTAAAGCCTTTTTATCGTTTGAGTACCGCATTTTCCTATCCAAATGGCAATAATGTCTTGTTTACACCCTTGGTCTTAGCTTTAACTCCTTAATTTCAAACAGATCTTAAGTGTCATCCTAAGTTTCTCATAATACTGATTTTACCTCAGTAAAAAAAGGAAAAAAAGTGCTTTGAGGCCCTTAAAAAATGCTATACCTAAGATTTCATATTAAATATATTAAGACCATAGAATTGATACCATATAATATATGAGACCATATGATTCACAAGGGAGTATAACTTTATTCGCCATATTTAACCCTTCACGCCTTACTGAATGCTGTATTTTCTATATGTTAGGAAGATCTAATCAAATTTAAAATTTTTAAGAAAAATAATCAAATTAGAAGATTTATCTTAAATCTCGAAAAAGAAAGCACGTCAATTTCTTTTCCAGTTTCATAAACGATGCTGTGATGCAAAAATCTCTGAATGGTAATACAGGTTTGCATGCATGTTCCTACAGATTTTTATTTTGTAAATTTTACCATCAAAACTCTTCTAATTTTATAGAAGACCGATTAGAATAAGCAATTTCTCATTTTCAAAACTTGTTTCGTGAAACTCCTCCCCTTCAAAATAGTAAATTTACTAAACTGACCTCTTAATTTATGCCTTAGAAATAGTACTGTTTCTATAGTATTTAATTATGTACAGCATAATTCTTATATTGCTATTATATAAAGGCAATAATATGCCCTGGACGAAATTAACACATATAAAAATAATAAGCTAATTAAATTAAAATATATCCGAATGCTTAGCCTTAAGGCTATAAATCTATTACACTGGTTCTATAATTAATTAATATGGTTAAAAGCATTTAAAAATTTTAATATCGAAAGCATAATAATCTTTGCATTTCTAGACAGAAGTACATGCAAAGAGAAATTCATTAAATTATTAAAATTCATATTAGAATTATAAATGATGAATCATAAAAATATTAAAAATTATACATTGAAAGTAATTTAATGCTATCCAATTAAAAAAGAAAGGAAAAGGAAACGAAGCGAAAAAAATTAATAACGAGCGATTTTACTATTCAGGTTTGGAAGATTCTTGTGAATTAATTTTAAAATTTTGAAAAAATTATAAAAATTTTTGAAAAATAAATAAGACCTATTCTTATCACTTTTATATTAAAAACAGAACAAATATTTTGACCTTTTTATCCCTAGGTATATATGAGACACTGAGATCTTTGAATGGTTAATGCTCATAAAGACACGAAATGACCAAGTATTGTTGAGATATAGGTAAAAATTAAAGTATCTTCATGAAAATTTCTACTATCTCAGTAGATAAGTACAGAATCCAAAATTTTTTTGAATTAAAAAATTTAAGTAAATATGTAATCATTTCTATCTCGTTATTATTTTTCGAGGAAGAATTATTAGATCATTGTAAAATTTATAAGTACCATATATATATATTAGAATTTATACTATAATTAGGGATCATACATTCAAAGAATGAAGACTGCATAATATCGGCATCCAATCCTCTGAAAAGAAAAAGGAATTATGCAAAAAAATTCGAAGGCATCGGTAATGTGCTAACATCATTTGTATGCTCAGTCATCCTCTCTTACAGCATTTATGAGTAATTCGTTTATTTTTTGGTTTAAAAAGGATGCGATCATAAAATTAAATTTCTTTCAAAAACGATGCGGAAGAGAAGAAATGGGAATTTTGGATGAACTGAACCTTTTCCTAATGTAATTGGGTAGAGTAACGTTATCATAAACACCATGACGGAGTAATCATACAAAATTAGCATTCATTTCCATTCTTTTCTCAGAAAATCCAGTAACTGCTTTAAATTAGAATTATTGTGTACTCTAGGATTTCAGTCTTAGATGCAAATGAATATTATTTGAGTTTTAATATTTTACCCGAATCAATTATAAATTTTAATGTGTCTTTTGCAGCCTGTCGACTACGAAGGCCCTAACAACACAGCTCGGTATTCTCAAAGGTATTATCCAGATGGTTACGTCGTTGGAGATCCTCTTGTTGCACCTCAAGAACAAACTGCAAGGAGACCAGCCCCACCTCAGCATCAGTCATATTCTGCATCAGCGGCTCCACCTCCCAGACCACCAACACGTGCAGTTTCTGCCCCACCTCCCCCTCCTCCTCCCCCTGCGTACAGAGCGCCTCCTCAGCAAGCAAATTACAGACCAGCAGCACAAGCTAGACCTGCTCCAAGGCCTGCTAGACCTGCGGAATCTTACCCAGCAGAGGCTCCACAAGGCTACAGAGCCTCTCCGCAGGCACAGCCAGCACATTCACCACAGCAGTATCGAGGTGAGCAACCCCAGCAGGCAGGACCTCCATCGCAGGCGTACAGAGTTTCAGCCCAAGCTGCTCCACCATCGTCTTCCAGTTACAGCAGTGAAGAAAATCTCTATCAACCACAACCTGCCCCGCAAAGTAGAAGGCCTTCAGCACCACAACGCTCTAGTGCTGCTGCCTATACCCCACCAAGGACTCAGCATCGTCCCACAAGTGCCAGATCTGCTGCAGGATATCCAGCATATGCCTCCAACCAGGCAGCAGGAGTTCAGTATGACGAAGATTACTAAACAGAACTGAATCTATGAAGACTTTTTTGTACCATTGTGTGTATTTTCCTGTTACACGCACTTTTTCATCCAAGTTTGTGGTTGATCGGCTTTGATAATTACTTCCCGCTCGTGATTTTACCGCTTTCTACGCCTGGCCCTTAGATTGACAGGAAGAAGCCGAGTTAAAACTATAGAAATTTTATTTTCCCTTTCTATGTTTAGTAACTTAGCATCAACCATGAATGACATTAGATACTTAATGACAGCAGATGCGAAAAACAAATGTAACTAATCGTTTGATAAATTACGGTACTCGTTTTTATCGACCTAAATAGAAATATACGTTTTTATGCCCAAATTAGAATTACTAGTCTTAAAAATGTAAGTTTTTAGTATTGATGACTATGGGTTACTGCTTTTGCTGTTTTAGGTAATCTTTATATTACAGCCAAAGTACGTTTTTTAAAAGTTAAGCAATCCAGATTATTTTTCAGATTATCTCGATTTCACAATTTAAATCTCGCTTAAAGATAAATTTGTAAATAATATCATTGAGAAAGAATGCGTTGCTAATTATTTAGGTAGTCAATAAAGCTTCGAAAAGAGTTTGAGGTTAAGGGCATTCGTAAGAAAGCGAAAATCTTGTGTGTACATCCCAGCGAAGTGTTCAGAGACTGTAAATTCCACGTTGATTCCATGATTTCATATCCACAATCAGTTTAGAAGCGAATGTAAAGGATACCACCGTAATGCGAATTAATATTACCGTTCGCATTACAGTGATATAAGTATATGATTTGCATCAGCCAAAATGATACACATTTTCTGTGACAGTATATTTGTTTTTATAAAAAATGGAATTCATTAAAAAAGTTCAGGAATACAGTTCTGTTTTTATATTTGTCTTGATCCGAAGATTTCATGGCACAAATATTATTTAGTTATGCAAGTGAACTTAGATTTGAAATAAAATATTTAATTAACTGAGCAAGTTTAACGTCAAGTTTAGTATCGCTTGGAAGTTTAAAGAAATGAAATGTTTTATTTAGTTTTATAAAATTTAGCTTTAATTTTTAATTCATTAGTTATATTTTGTCATGAAGTCAAAGGAAATTATTTAAAGACAGTTTTAATAGTATTAATTACAAAATTATTCCTTTAAGAACAAGATCGCTCAATTGTATAAAATAATAATATGTGTACAAATTAGGCTTTCACAAAATAAATGTTTAATATTTTTGTATGAGATACGTTCTTTCTTTCTTTCTTTCTTTTTTTTTTTTTTTTTTTTTTTTTTTGAATTACTTTTTTTCTTGTGATTATTATATAGCCGCGTTTACTTGATTAAATCTTCAGGGGAACTCTGCTAATGGATAAACTTAAACAAACATTTCTTGAATACGTTAATAAAATATGCTAATAAAATAATCACTAATTCTTCTTAAATTTGAGAATTTTACTCCTATTAAATTGGATAAATTCACTTCTTTCTCACTTAAGAAAGGAATCAGATTCAGACGTAAAAAATGTGTAGCGTAAATGTAAGCTATTTCCCTTAAAAAGTTCTCCACAAAAGTATTTCTCCTTTAAAGCAATAATAATAATATTTATTACCGCCTGCTTTACCTCTCATTGGGCACTACAGGTCGGATCAAATCATCCTGGTCGTTGCGTTTTCATTCGACTACTTTTCTTTTCAGCCAACTTTATTATTATTAACTAAATTAAAAATTAGTAGTAAAATTTAAATTACAATTTATTATTTTTTTAATTTAGTACAATTAAACTTGTTAATAGATATAAGAATAATAATAATAAAAGGATTAGTAAACTATATACAATATTTTTGGCAGGCTACCATTACATTTGTCACGTCGCAGACCTGGAATTAGCTGATGACATAAATCTCCCTCTGATGATTATTTAAGAACTTTGGAATGGCGCAGACGTCTCTTTGGCCGTAGTAGTCCTTGAAAATTGTCTCCAGGTTTGGGTTAGATCCAATGGATGAAGTGTCGTTGACGAAGATCGTTTATTAAGCAACACGTGGTCAGATAATGGGCCGCGTCGGCTTCTGAGAAAGTGGCTCCACAGGCGCATCTCATGCTAAGTTGGAAGAAATCTTGCGAAATAACTTAAGAAGCATCGTTGGTTGGTCGATCCCTGCAGGCTGTAGAAGTCCGACTTGAGTCGCTTGAGGAAAACGGATGAGAAGATGGAATGCGTAAATCGTCCAGTGTCTGCTGAATCCCAACGATCTTGCCAATAGTCTAGGAGAATTTGCTGGATCTTGAACTTGGTTGAGTCTTTCGAAAGCGGAACCTGAGAGTCGATGGAGGGGTGGTCGGTTGCCTCCTTGACTAATTTGTTTGCAAATTCATTTCCTTGGTGGCCGCGTATCCATTGTAAAGAAATCCTGTTGTTGTCACCTAGGGTAGCTAAGACCTCCTTCAAGGCTGAGGTATGGAGAGGTACAACTCCTGTCTTGTTAAGGCCTTGAAGGACGCTCATGCTGCCCGTATAAAAAGCTATCTCTTTTGACTTGAATTGGCCGCCCCATAGGGCGGCATCTTTAAAAGCTCTCGATTCAGCTTCAAACATTGACGCGTGGTCGCTGAGTCTCTTAGCGGCTGAATACAGTGGTTCTTTATTGTTGAAGGCGACGAAGGCTGCACCTACTTTATTGTTTATCTTCGACCATCAGTGAAGATTTCAAGGGAGTGCCCTGTTGGAAACTTCTTTGTCCATTTTGTTTCTTTTACTTTCGCCGGGTGCGTCGAGTGGGTGTGGAATCTTGTCTCGATTTTGAAGTCATCCAACAGTCTGTCTATTTCCTTATATGAACAAGTCTATATAGGCATCGTTCTTCTGCTGCTTTCAGGTCCAGAGGCAGGGTACCTGCTATAACACCTGGAAGAGCAGTTGTCGGCGTCGTTGTGTAAGCTTTTGGTAGCTTCAGCAATACTATTCTTTGTATTTTTAAGAGCTTTTAATTTACACTCGCTGTGCCGATCATCCAAATTGGGCAACCGTACAGTATCATTCTCTTATGTAGAGATCTTTTACGTTCCATCTTGAGTCCAGTATTCTATTTAGGTTGTTTAGCAAGATGCTTGTCTTATCACGAATCTCGGTTAGATGAGGAACCCAGGTTAACTTCTTGTCAATCAGAAACGCCAGGTATTTTAGGGTATCTTGTCTTCGTAGGGTGTGTCCATTCCACTTAATTCATGATTAATTCTGGGAGGATGGCTTATTAGCTTATTCCCTTTTGGCACGACGAGCATCTTGGTTTTGTCTACACTAAATCTTAATTTGTGAGAGTGACTCCATTCCGTTATGATTTTTAAAGCTTTATGGGCTTTTATCTCTATAGTGGTGCGATTTCCGCCACTAATTACTAGTATGAAATCATCTGCGTGTAAGCACGATTGTAAATTATTTAATTGTTATTAGACAAAATATCTATTGAGAAATGGCAACAGCTAATTTCTGGATGTCGTTCTATTTATAATTTTAAAAATATTCATTGAGATGATGTACGCTTCAAATGTTTAACGGTACGATGCAGTAAGTACGTTTGTTATGTTATGTACGTTTACGAATACGTTACGTATAGGTTATTAAGATTTATCTTCAAATGAATGTTTGTCTTTTACAACCATTTTACGAGTAATTAATTTAACTACAAAAGGAAGTTAATATAAATCAGAAGTAGGATTATACTGAAACCTAAGCCTAAAGCTACAAGAATTTGCTATTACGTAAATAAATTGAAAAGAATTTGAATTTCAAGGTATGTGCATTAATTGATGTAACATAATCATTATAGAATTTAATTTTGTTATTTTTTTATCATTTTGGAAAGAGAGTTTATTATTTTCATTTCTTTAAATTTTTAAATATATTTAGAACGTCAAACAAACTTATAAAATACCAATAATTGTGTTCTACTAAGTTGTCTAATTGGAAGTTAATAATAATAGCATATATATATAATTTGCATTTTAATGAGTACGAAAATGTCTATTTTCGGTAAGGCAAAGAAATGCGATTTAAGAATATTAGCTGAAGAATTGGGAGAAGATGTAAATGAGAGTCATAAAATGAGCGATTTGAAAAAGATAATTTTGGCTAGCAAAGAGTACGATGAAGAATGCGCCAAAGAATGGTTAAACATTATAATAAATGAAAGAAAGGAAAAAGAAGAAATTGAAGAACGAAAACGTCAAGAAGAAATTGAAGAACGTAAACGAAAAGAAGAATATGAGGAACGAAAACGAAAGTATGAAATGGAATTTGAACTGCAAAAACTACATATTGAAGCAGAAAGTAGATCTACAAATTCTGGCACCAATGAAAATGCTAGTGGTACGCACATGAATCCAAAGTTAGAGCTTCATCGTTTGATGCAAAAATTTAAACCTAACGAGAATGATATCAGTTTATATCAGTTTATGTTTAATCATGTTTGAACGTTTGGCTAAACAAGTTGAAATACCAGAAAATACATGGGTTACTCATTTGTTTGGCTTATTGCCGTATGATATTGCTCAGTTAATCGCCAGAGAAACCGATGAGATTGCAAACGATTATAAAGAAGTTAAAAAGATTTTATTAAAACGGTACAAGATGACACCTGAAAAATTCGCCAAAATTTTTTACGCACAATAAGAGTGTATGAAACACATGGAAGAATTTTGCGTATGAGTTAAGAAATTTTTTTAATGAATTCATAAGCGGAATTAAAGTAGATACTTTTGAGAAACTTAGCGACGTTATTGTAGCGGATCAGATAAAACGTAAAGTGTCTCCAGAAGTAAAAGATCATTTTATTGACATCTGGTCTGAGTTGATTTTACCAATTGATTTAGTTGAAAAACTAGATGATTATGATACCTTGAAGTCAACTTTCAACAATAAACAACCGCGTAAGGAAGGGTCTTACGATAAACGAAACTCCTTTAAAGATGGTCCAGTTGCTGCAATCAACGAAAAGTAAAATCTCTACGGTATCACACACAATGAAAAAGGTGAACCAAAATACTTCAGCTGTAATAATTTTGGACACATCTCAAGGGACTGTCCGCTGCCCAAACCAATAGTAACATGCCGAAAATGTAATAAAACAGGTCATAAAGCAAAAAATTGTGTTACTAAGCCTGAAAATAATCATTCAAATGATAAAAGTTATTCTGTTGAGCAAGTTGGCGAAAATATAGAAGAGAGTACTTCATATTTGAAGAAAGCAAAACTGAATAATTCTGAAGAAGTACAGGCTTTAATTGATTCGGGGAGTTCTTGTTGTCTCTTAAGGACTTCAGTTGCTCAGAAACTTAAAGTGAAACCAAAACCTGCTATGAATGAATTGTACGGTTTTGAAAATCAAAGGGTGCCTCCATAGGAATGATTAAAGCCGATATTGAAGTTGATAATGTAAAAGGCCAAAGCATAAATATATACCTTGTACCTGATAATGCACAGCCAGTTGATCTAATCATCGGACGGACATGGCTTGATCTACCTCACATCGCTTATGTCAGAATAGGAAAAAGATTTCACTTCGGGTATAGGGAAGTTGAACTATTTAGTAACCTCCAAATTGATGGGAAAATAAATCAAGTCTGCCTTAAAGCTCTTGAGAAAAATGAATTAGAGAAAAATACAATCAGTCTTGTCAGTTCTCAAACAGATTCTGTAGATAATGGATTAATTATGATAGAAAATCCTTCCGAAGGTATAAGCTGTTTATTAGAAATTAAAAATGGCGAAACTTGTATACCAGTGATTAACGTTGGCGATAGAAGTGTTAAGCTCCAAAAAGATCAATGCGTTGGGAGAGCAGAAGTTGAACTATGTTTAAATACTGAAATTTCTGAATTGAG